ATTGTAAACTACTGTCAACATGTACAGGTTGTCCTTGTCAGAAACAGTTGCTTGTGGTCCGACAAAGGCCACAGCTACTCTGCTGAATGGCTCTTCTATGAAAGACATATCACCCAGTAGCACCTTAGCTGGGTATCGTCCTTTGGCAGATGTCATATGGCCTGTAGAATCTGGTCACATGTCCAATGCCCCTCAGCCAATGAAAGTAGCTGTTGATTCTGTCTGCAATTCTCTTGTTCCTAGGTGTCCTCTCACAATCGTCTCATGAGCCAGCTTCATCATCCTGTAAGTCCCTTTGTCTTGTGCTCGACTTTATCCCAGGTGCTGTCACAAAGTTTCTGCAGTGAGGGGTCTTTCTTCTGTGCTTCCTTCAGTTCCTGTAAACCTACATTCGAGGTGCCACCTTTCAAGACTTGCAGGAGCTTGATATTTTGATTGCTTTTCTTTCTTGAACTCTAGTGGTGACTGCAGATGCTTCATCAGTCTTCTTTCTGTCTTTTCTTCAAACTTCCATTGCCTGACATATTGCCGATTATCAAGTCGTAGATAGGTGCCTTCATACATATGGCCTCAACGTCTCCCACACAGTATGGAGTGTCAACCTTTATTCTTTATACGTGAAACTTTCTCACTGTTCCATCAATCAGCACACACAGATGTATCTTGCCTGTTATCTGGCCATCAGATACAAGATTGGATCTCAGTGCTGCAATACTGCACCCAATGTCTCATAGGACTTTCACTTTCTTGTTCCAGACATAGCCTTCCCCTATTGGTACATTTTGATTTGTTGGCAACCCTCAATGTTTATCACATGCTTCAATCATTACTAGCACCGTTGATCCATCTGCTAACTTGAGCTGACTATCAGTCATGCACTATTTAATCATGGAGATAGCACTTCATTCTTGTGGTAAATCTGATGGATTGTCCTTATTCTGTTTTTTCTGGCAGTGGCATACATGGTGATAGTCTCTCTCTTTTTGTTTTTTGCCAGCACCATCAGCTTTATGTTAAAATTTCTGTTGTTGTTTGTCAGTGACAGACTTGCACTCATTTACAATGTGTCACATTTTATAACAAATATAGCATCTCTTCTCCCTTTTGACCATTGAGTTCTTGTCACCTATAGTGGTATTTTGTTTTTAACTGTTTTTTTTTGTATTTAACTAGTTAATCTTGGACTCACTAGATATACTCCCTCCATTAGCTACCATATACTATTCTGCAAGCTTGATCATCTCATCCACGTCTTTTGGTGCTCTGTCTTTTAGGAACAGTGACATGTCAGTTGAGCACATGATCATGAACTGTTCATGTATTAGTAGATCTGCCAGTCCTTCAAAACTATTTTCACACTTGGCCATGTCAGTAAACCTTGTGAAATATTGCCATAAGCCTACCACAAACTGAAATATAGTTTCTCCAGTGGCAGGTTTGACTTCTCTGAACTTACAATGAAAACCTTCCTTGGTAAGTTTATATCATTTCAACAAGGCCACTTTTAACTTGTCACAGTCCATGCCATCTTCTGACATCATGTCTGCATATACTTGTAGGCCTTTTCCTGTGAGAAGGGGGCTTAGACAGACTGCCCAGTCACCTTGGTGAATCTTTCGTATCTCTCCATGAAAGCATTCATGTCATCTTTCTGGTCATCGAATTTTGGCAGCTTATGTCAGCTGGCCCCGACCCCATTGCCATTCTTGGGTCCTTCATCTTTCTGTTGGGTGAGTTTTGTGATCTCAATTTGTGCTCTTATTCTTTCTATTTCCAGTCTCTTCTCTCTCCTGCTTTTCTTCTTTATCAATTTCTGCTCTTATTCTCTCTATTTCTAGGTTCTCTCCTTTTCTTGTTTCAGTCTTTTTCTTTCCTTTTTTGAATCTGTCTTCCTCTCTCTTATGTAGCTGCTCTTCTCTCTCTAGTTCTTGTTGTTGTTTAACAAACTCTCATAGATCACCATCTTTTAGCGAAAAAGTCGCTCACCTCTCTCTGTTCATATATCAAAATCAGTTCACATGATTATATAGTGTGATAGTAATCTCTAATTTTTGCCACCACTACAATCATGCGTATAAAGGCATACTTTCACTGTTGTTCACATCTTGTTGTACCTCTATTTACCACTGTATAATCCTGGCTGGCTCACCAAACTCAGGTTTTATAGGGCTGTATTCTTTACTGTAGGTATCTGTGGATTGTTAGCGATAAATTTCAACAATAAACAGGTAGCACACAATCCACTTGTTTTAAAATAATATGTTCAAAACAAGTCACACTTATGTACACAAATTCGTTATACTATTGGTTATCGTAGTTGTATCTACAGGTTTAAATAATTGTCTCCTTTTCATAAAATTTCACACAGGCAGGTTCAGTTACTTCAGAACATCCTTTGAGAAGACAAATCATTCTTTATCTCTGTTATTACAATACAAGTCTTATTACAATACTTTCATTTTAGAAATTGCCACTATATGCTCTTTATAGCTAAATGTACAATCATGCAGTCTCACTTCACTTTTACAAACTTATTTACTTAAACTGATCACCTATATATTGCCTGACTGAGGCCTAGAACTTTCTACAAACTACAAGATGTTATGATGTAACAATATTCACCTAAAGCAATGAGAAAAATTCTGAAGGTTTGAGTAACATGACATTAATTAATAACAACTGAACTACACAACAAATGAATCATAAATAGTTACATAATTAAACCTGCAATTAATTATAATTTCTAAAAAATATTGCATTTAACACTGGTGCTTTACAATTACTTAAATTATAACTTATATTAAATGTAAATGAAACAGTCATGTATATCTAACACACATTCCATCACAGAAATCAATAACAGATTAAAAATAGTGTTCACTGAAAAACACAAGCTCATATAACTCAAAATTGTGTACCACACCTGGTTCATGCTATAAAAACCATAAATAAATACTATTAGTAGCAATCTATGAGACTTTAAAAATATTTCATGTGCAAGTGTGATAATTAGTAATAAATTAATCACAGGTTTGCTTGTTTATTTGTAATTTAGCACAGAGCTATACAAAGGTATCGAAACCCCGGATTCTAGCATCGGAAGTGCGCAGACATACCGCTGTGCCACTGGGGGACGTTAATCATAGGTAAAGCCTGAAATGTGAATAGATAACTTACAGTACTGTACAACTATAAGTAAAGTTTAACTTATAACATTCTAGATGTGAAAGGACAAATTATAGAATCATTATAGATATACTTCCCATGCACGGAATACTATACTAATCAAAGTGATGTATGATGACAAATCAAATTTATAAGCATGTTATGGAAACACTAAGACTAAAAACAAAAAACTACCTATTTTCAAGACTTAACAAAACGTTTCATTTCCTGATTTATGTACTTCATTAAGTCTCACCGAAGAGTTTATCAAATGAAAGGAATAATTTATGTCAGTTCAGATTTCAGATGCAAATCTTGTATATATCAGTTGGTTATGGTCATTGTATCCTACTGGAGAAATGGGTGCTAGTGATGTAAGACTAAGATTTGTGACAAATAAAAGATGAAAGAGCCTAATTTAGCTTTTAATAAATATCTCGTCTAGATTTTCATACATATAATTTCTTTATAACTAGTTGAATACTTTTGTGCATTCCTGTTTATTCCAACATTGTAACTACTACAGTACTGTGTAAAAGTTTAAGGACGAGAGAACATTTTGTCATTCGTTCTATTTTATGGGGCTAATTCTTCCATGCCATTACAAAATATAAATTTTACCACTATGGCAATGTTTTACTTATCCCTATTGACAACTGAATGAGCCAAGGTGAGAATACTTATCATT